CTCTCCTGTTTTGGGCCTGACAACTTGTAGTGCATGGCTCACCTCCCCAATCTCAGAGTCAATTACTTCAGTTAACTGCTATAAGCATCTACAGGAAAAAAAGAAAACCTACATATGTGCCAGCAATAAATAGGAAAATCAGGACACACCACTTATGGGTTGACTTGTCAGAAAATGGTAATTAAAGCGTTCCAGCTGACAGTGCCCCTTTAATGAATTATTAGTAATGTTCTCTGAGAACATTTGATGAAAGACACCATAAGAGTTTATACTTAAACCAATTTTCTGCATGATGCAACTTCACTGCACAACAGGAGGAAAATCTCCTCTACAGAATCAAACTAAGATAATAAAAAAGTAATGGTCTGAATGATCAGCAAGTTACAGCTGCCCTCCTGCACTGGTTACCCCTACTCCCCTACCATGACCTTTTTGCACAAGTGCTTATCTAATAATTGCCAGCATTTCCTTAAATTCTGTTAAAAACAGCCAGTAAGGTGTAAGAGTGCTGGTCCTCAGCTGTTAATAAATACCACACGTAGGTACAGTAGTGACTGAGCAGCTCAGTTTCACTACAGATACAGCAGCACGTAGGGACTGAGCCCTTCTGATACCAACCACACCAGGAGCTTCTGAACAGCACTCTGTGTTACAGCATTACTAACAGCCTGCTCGTGCTGGGCAGTGGCAGCAAGCTCATCCTACAGGTGCTTTTGCCTAAGGGCTACTCCTGCTTTTAGAACCTTCCAAGGCATCTTGATGTGCACAGAACCAGCAGTGATACTCCAAACCCTCATCACCCTTCAGCAGGGGGAAGGGGACACGAGCTTTGCATGACTCATTTCCTTTCATCAAGGTTCTTGCTGGTTTCCAGCTCCATCCAGATCTGTCTGCCTTTGGCTGCTCCTTTAGAAATGTAACAAAACAGCTCTGAGGATTTGCTTCTCTTGGTGGCAGCTCTGTGGGCCCACCAGGAGCTGGTAGGTAAGCAGTGATATTCTGGGGTGTGAGAGTAGAAAGCTCTTTCCAGCCATGCAGTTCTAAGCATCCTATACCTGAAGGCCACCAATGGCTTCTGCATTTCAGCTGTACTCAGCAGCTCACCTAAACACTAAGGAGCATCTGTAAGAGCCTGGACTACAGTGGGAAGGAGGGGAGTTTGGCACAGGAATGTAGCTTTCCCTTCCTTTACATATAACCATGAGACAATGCAGAGTTGCTACAGCAGAGCAAGGTGTCTCTTCCTTCAGCAGCACAGCCCAAAGGATGTATCTGCATGATATATCCCAAGGCTCTATTTCTAGTCTGCTGTACATCAGCCTGCATACTGGAAAGGAGCTTTATAGCTAAGATTCAGAGCCTTGTTAGCTCACCCTGAATATCTTCATAAACCTCTGCTACACAGCAGGTAACAGGCCAGTCAGGCTGTGGGTGGCTGATAAGTTTGCACCCTCCATACACAGTGCTCACAGAGATAAGATGGTTTTATTTGTTTCTTGGTTTCACATCACAGGGTTTTGATATGCAAATGTCCCTCCTCTGCAGCAGCAACCCACAATAAATGCAAGGTAATTTAAGTTGGCTTATACCTTAATAAACTCCCTCAGATGCTCTCTGTGCTGTCAAGAGAAGCGTGCACACAGAGTAATCACACAGATAACAAACAACAAAACAACGCCTGTTTGAAGCCCTGGGACTTTCTGTCCCAGTGAGGAAAACAGAATTATACAAGAGACCTTCACAACACAGAGCCACTGCAACCTGAACAGCTACCTTGTGTGTGAACGCTTAGTAACATCAAGAGATAAAATAGTGGAGTTGATCTCTCCTCCTTTACTCCCTTAAATAAGGGGATCTAACCTTGGCTGCCCACATCACCTGGGGGTGGGCAGCAGCTCACCCAGTCCTCATTGCAGGCCATGGTTGAGATACCAGAGCATCTCTCATGTTTTGAGGGTACACTGAAGCAAAATGAATCCTTCACTAAGTTCCCATCACTTCGCAGGGACTATGGAAATCTTAAATCACAACCAAGGGCTGCCCTGAATTCTGCACGAAGTAGAAAAACTGAGCCAAGATTTCGGAGTGCTTATTAGTAACTGAAATAAGAGCTTGTTTTCAGGAGTAATGCCCAAAATAGGAGCACTGGTACCTACAGCAGGAGGAACCACTGAGTATTTTGGTGATAATATGCTTTGAATACAAAGAATGGCACAGCGCTCACACTCTAATAAACCTAAATTAAAGATTTTTCATTTGCTTCATATCTGCAAATCAGCTTAGTATTTTTCCATCTCAAAAAAAATAACCCATTGTACGTTCCCCTCTTTTCCCTCTTCACTGTGCTCTTTGCACATAAGTGCTTTTCTTCTCCTCAGATAATGATAAATAAGTTTCTACCTAGACAGCAGGAGGGCATCACTTAGCTTTATAATCCCCTGAATTCTGAGCTCCTTTACAATTCTGACTACGATGAGCTGATGCCATGCTGTCAGTCCATAGCAGTACACACAAGGCTTCTCAAAGCACTTTGCAGCCTTTGAATTCATCCACACAACACCCTCATTTTGCTTCCATGTTATGAGCAGATGGGGAAAACAGACACAAAGGGGACAGCAGCCGCCCCACAGCACAACAAAAAGAAGTGGAAAGCCAGGACCAGGCTCAGGTAATTGCCCTCTCCAGGAAAGGTTTCACCACTTGCTTCCCAGGTGCTGCAGACCGAAATCTTATTAAGACAGATTGGCCTTGCTTATATGTTAAGATATTATTCTCCTGAAGTTTGCTCCTCATTGTGAAGGAACAAAAGATGTGCTGAATACCACTCTCTGGCCTTGGTAATAAGTTGATTTAATTGGATTTGATTTTTCAAATATAGCATCTCAAGTCAGCCATAAACTCTGGAATTAGCATTTCACATCTCAACGCGGGAGGGGTTTTAAAGCAGCACAAGGAGATGAAACCCATGCCCAGTGAATTTCAAATTACTCTGAGGATGAACTCAGCCATATGCATGTTAAACTAAAATTGTGCAGGCTCTGAGTGCGTCAGGCAACGTTATTAATGGCGCACATTTGCTATTAAGAATGCAAAGCAGCTATTTTGTACCCAGTTTGTTCGCATGTCTCTTCACATCAGTGACCCATGTGATGGGTCAATAATTCACTCAGTGTGCACTGAAAGCCAGGAATGTCTTGCAAGTCAATTACACTTATATAAATAATTAGGAGCACAGAAGTAAATGAAGATTGGAACAGGAAAAGCTCTGCTGGTGAAACACTGCACACCCAGGGACAGCAGACTGCACACATCTGTAGATTTGCAGCTGGTGGTCCCCAGTTCTTCCAAAAGGCACTGTGTGCCCCCACAATTGCCCTTAAAAGGGGCAGTCCTGAGCTGTAATATTTCAGGGAACAATCAGGTTTCTCCTGTAAGTGAAAGCTATTTGCTTTCTGCAGGAGATGTGGCAAACAGCTGCCAACTGAGATTTGATTCTCAAGATTTGTTCCTGGAATGCTTCACTTCTGTGGCATTTATTTGTAATAAATCACTGGAACATCCTAACCAACCTAACAGGCACAAGTGGACCCCAGCTCTCTAATTCAGATGGATGAGAGGCGCTTCAGCAAACCTTGTGTGAAAGAGCATAGAATGGCCTTAATACCTCTACCTTCACCTGAAAACCAGCTGAAAAGTCAGATTTTTTTCCCCAGTCCAGAACACGTGACCAAAAACTCACATTAAATGTCAGGGCAGGAGCTGTAGGCTGTCACACACCCTTCAAAAGGCACTGGAACGACTGCTGTCACCCACCTTGTGATGCAGCAGCCAAGCAGAGATGAGGGAAAGAGACTATTGAGATAAGACTGTAAAGGGACAAGATGTTTCTAGACAGCTTGGCTGAACATAGCAGAAATCAGATATCAGGAACCAGAGGTAGAACAAAATCTGTCACTCAAAATCTGCAGTGCTGCCAGCATTTGTGATCAGAGCACTGAATGATGAAAGGAAATCTTCTGAACTACTGATGTCTGATACTTTTACTGGTGAACCTCAACTGATTCAACATGCAGCATCAGCCAGCAATTGCCAATCCAGCTTGCAGCTGTTATGTGACAGACTTGCAGGCATAGCGAGCAGAACAAAGGAGCATGGCAGATCAGCAGGTAGCAATGATGTGTTACAAGTATCAAAGTGGTTCCTTATACTTCTGGAATAAAATAACCTGGGTAAGGACTGCAGCAGGATAGTGATCCGAGTTCTGCATGAAAGTGCTCCCAAAATGCTGCCTAGGTCAACCAAAAACTCTTCCTACTGCCATTTAATCCAGTTAGGTGCTTGTTTGCCCTTCTCTCATTTCCCTCAGGTTCACACAGAGGGAGTGCTACAGAACTGAGAAACAGTAAATCAAACCCTGGCTCTGTGGCTGACTAAGCACACAGTGTGTGACCACCCAGCAGGGTGAGCAAGCAGCCTCTGAGTATTCTCTTACTGCATCTCTATTCTGGAGCTGGCATTAGCTATACCCTGTGATGTAAATTACTGTGAGAAGACTTTATACCATGGCAGCATTCACTTAATTGCTTTTCTTTAGTGATGTGCAGAGTGCAAAAGAGCAACATCATGCTTTTCTCATGCACTGAGTAAGCAAGGGCTTCTGGAAGCTGCTGTAACCATAAGTACTTTGTCAATGCCAGGTCCTTCTGTCAATGTTTTCTATCACACCCAGTGCTGAGTTCTGTTTGGGGTGGCACAAAGCCACCGTGCATTTAAATACACCAACAGTTTGGAAACTGAAATGACAGGAGAATGGTGAGTGTTGAGATACCTTGAGATGAGATGCCCAAATGGGGTCGGAACCATCGTGGCTTTCCCAGGTGCTCTTGGCCTTGGATAATGGCTGTCAGCTGCCTCTCAGCCCTCGAGGCTTTTACACAAAGCCTTTCCAGTGCACCATACTGATGACTGAGACTTGACATTGCCAATCTGTAGAAACAAATTGCGAGTTAATGATTCAATGCCTTTAATAATTCAGCAAAGAATAACAAAATGAGAACGTACAGCAGTGGCTCACATGACTCTGCCTGTTCTCCCCATGACCTTTCGGGATGGTGTTTGTGCTGCACTGCCTTCCCAGCACACATCCTGTGCAGTGCTTTGCTTACAGGCTGCTTTCAGGCAAACAGGCAGAACTTTGCAGTCCACCATCACACCTTCAGAGTGCTGCCTTCTCTGGCAGCAGGGAAACAACCAGTAAAAACTCTCCTTTCTCCATCAGAAAAACTCAACAGAAAGCAAAACTTCATTTCCAGACTCCTCAGTGAGCAGAACACACAACCACCATAACACTTCTGTGTTCAAGCCCTATTTTTTTCCTTTTGAAACTACAATGACACATCACACAAAAACACTGCAAGGAGAATCATTTTCTTTTGACCGAAGTCCCCAAAGATACCATTTGCTCAAGAATAACTTCGCCCAGAGAAGTTCTTCTAAAAAAAAAATAAGTTGGTATTTTCAGTGAGAAATCAATTCTCTGAAAATAGAAACAGTTCTGTTGGGAAATCCCCCTCCATGGCACAGACAGCCCCGCTCCCAGCTCTCACAGAGGTGATTCCCAGCACGATTGCACATCCCACGACTGACCCTGAAGGTGAGGTGGGTCATTGGCTGCACAGGAATTCTGCCACAGCAGGAGGTGCTATGGGAGATGCAGTCTAACTGTGAAATTGGTCAGGCGCTGCAGAAATTGCACAAATAACAGTTTCCTTTGGTCCCTATGAAGTGATAGCTGCTGGTTTTTGTCTGACAGATGTTTGCCAAGCTCCATGTGATGCAGGGAACACCTGAGAGCCAGGGCTGCCCTCCATGGGCAGGAGGAAATTCCACTTGCTGTCTATTCCCCAAAGCCTTAATGGTGTTTGTACACAAGAGCCACGCCATGTGCTCTCACCTGAGCTGAGCACTTCAGGCTCTCTCCCTCAGTAAATGCAGTAATGAATTAATTTTGCATGCAGTGCTAACTGCCATAATATTAATGACTAACAATAACAGTAATGGCTTTACTGCTGTAAATCTTTACTTGCAACACTTGAGGACCCCAAACACTCCCAGTCTCCAAGAAAACACACTTTGCTCAAGTCTCCATTGCTGCAGCACACGTTATTTCACTTACTCATCTGCCTGTGTTCTCAGGAATGAATGGTGCCCTCGAGACAGCTTTGTGAGGGGAAACTCTGCACAGAAGGCATAGCACAAGCAATGTTCCTGAATACAGGCAGCTGCTGCTTGTTATCATGGAAACCCTATTTGAAGCATGACCCCAAGGCACACTGCAGTGGGCAGCACCAGGGATGCTCAGCAGGACGGATCAGGGAGCAAACCCCACCAAGCACACACAGCACAGCATGAAGAGCCACTTTTAAGGCAGAGGGTCCCAGGTCCTCTGGTATAACAGGCTGACAAAGCATTAGAGCAGCCTTCCTGGAGTGGCTCAGCCCCTCACACGAGCAATAGCTCCCACAGTCTGCACACTCCATCTCAGTTCATACATGTTTTCAGGATGTGGGAGCAGCAAGGGAGGGATTGGCACAGCCTTGTGCTATGTACCAAGGATAGCTGGAACACTCCTGATTCACCCAGTTTAAATAGAAGTGATGGGTGCTGCTCCTCTGTGACAGGAGACAAATGAGACACAGAAGTGGACTTAGGCAAGGTTACACTCCTGCTGTACTTCAAATTGATTCAGTGCAAGGTCAGCTCTGTTTGGCAGCCCTTGATTCTGCTACAATTCTGATATGACAACAGGTTTGGGATACTGCAACAGGCAGATTCCTGCTCTAGCCATGGCACCCACTGAAAACCAGTGAGCTGTATTCTGCAAAGGTCTCAGTAGAAAAGCAGCCAGCAGATAACACACAATAAGACTAAGTGCTGTCGTTTGCTTTTCTAATAAAAAAGGATTTCAGAAGGTATCAAGAATGGGATATTTCACATACTTTGTTCAGAGGAAGTTCAACAAAAAAAAAAAATCAGAGGGACTGAAAGAACTGATTTTTAAAAAGAGCTGTACAGGACTGAAAAAATAATCCTCTAACTCTGTATCCCCCTTTTTTCTACCTAAGCTCCTTAGAACTTCATCTGAATCCCTAACAAAGATGCATTTCTATCAAAAGCTGTGGGTTCAGAGGGCTGCTTTGTGTTTATGCTTCCCCCCCCTGCAATGATGAAGCTCTGCCAGCTTTGTTTGTACCTCCTTTGCAGTGAGGGAAGAAACACAATTGAAGCCACGGGTATCAAAACAACAGTTAAATGTGTTAAAAGATGTTGTTCTTTGTCTGACCCCCATCAAAACTCAACCACCTTCCCCTTCCTACACCCACTGCTCCCCAGCACCGCACGTGACTGAGATTAAAGCCATTTCCATGGATTAATGTGCTCTACAGAGGACTTACCCAGAGCACCATTAATGCTCCTGGGCATTACCCCACATTCAGGAGTGCTCACAGCAAACCAACTGGGGGCAAGTAGGAGCTAAGAGCACCACTCAGTTCCATCCCTGGTGAGCAGAGGAGCCCCAGCTGGTACGTAGCACACGGGACCCCAACCACTGCTGTTACGTACTGGCAGAAGTGCATCTCTACAGAACTACCTGGGTGTCTGTAAGTTACTCTGGCTGCGGGGGGTGGTGGAGATTCGTTAGGAAAGATCAGGAAGCGAGCGACAGAAATATAAAGGTTTTTGCTTATTGCAGTGATCTCTGAAATATGAGTGGATCAGCCCCGTGGAAGCTGCGTGTTTCTGCAGCCAACCTCGACATGCCATCACCACTCGAGGCAGTTCTGCTGCCCCATCACTCAGCACAAGCCGTGTCGTGCAGCACTGCTGTGATGAATGCTGCTGGGGACAGCAGAGCTCTGCCAGCTCCTCCTAAAGGCATTTCTCACACAGCAACGCTGAGTGTGTTTGGGCTGACAGGAAGCATCCTGCTAAATATTAGCTACAGCGCAGCCACTCAGTTACCTTCAGTGATTTAAATGGAAAGGACTAAGGGCTATATTATATAACTTGCTTTCTGTAACCTCCCCTGTAGCACGCTGAGTGTTGGTACAGGAGGGAATGCTTCTCTTGCTGAAGAGAATCAACACATTCCAGCTGTAAGTGGGAGCAAGAAAGATTTGTTGAGGGTAGGATTGCTTTGCCACCCTGGCTCAAGAAGGGTGTTTTCTTGAGACTTTGATCTATCTGGGGTAGCTTAGAGCTTATAAAGCAGTCTGAAGACAGCGGGGAAGATTTAAGGAGGAAGGAAAGGAACAGCAAAGTTGGGAATGTTTCCAAGGTTGCAGCCCAGACTGTGCTGATTGGCTTCCTCTCATCATCTCTGTGATAATTATCTGTTGATTTGTATGTCTGGATTAATCCAAAGATTTCTAGTGAAGGCTGAATCAGGTCTACCAGAATGGTGGTAACATCAGTGACAGCCCCAGCAGGAAAAGCCAGCTAGATCAGAGTACCTCTTCCATTTCTCCCCTTCACACCTTTCTGGGGGTTGTGAGCACCTCTGCCCAAGGCACAGATGTGCAGCTCAGGATGTGCAGGCAGTGGCACAGAGGCATTCTGCTGTTCCAGCACTGACACTCAGAGCTCACACTGCTGCAGAAAAATCCAATGCAACAAATGCCAACAGCAGCCGAAGCCACACATCCCTGCACACAGGGAAATTAAAGGTGAAATACTGCAGAGCTCCTGAGAACAGTGCATCATGCAGCAATGTTTTCTTTCTGCTCAAACTATGCATTAACATTAACACATTAAATGGGTGTCGAGAAAAGCAGACTTGAGGACTGTTTGGAGGGTGAACCCATTCCCTTCCTCAGGTTCTTGCTTAAAGTTTAACTTTGTCAGCCACATTCACAACCAATACATTCAGCAGCAAAAGTTCAAAGCAGTGAAAAGCTATGGCACAATGACCTTCATTTCTCCATCCTCTCTTTTATGAGCAGAGGTTTCAGTGTAAGCACAGGCTGTGACACAAAACAACAAATCTGTACTTTAGTTCTGGCTTTCTGAAATGTAATTCGTGCTTATCAATAACATCATCCCTTTGCTACTGGTTGCTGTATCAAAAGGTGATCCGTGGTCTCTGTAATACTGTATCTAATGGAAAGATTTTAGCTATCAAAAATATTAAGCAGCTTCTGCTTCAGAGTAAATGGAAGAAAGCCTTTGCTAAAGAGCAGCTCACTCCTGCGTGGTCAGAGACAAGACATGCATCCACTCAGGAGGAGCAGAGTCTTCCTTTACCAGCAACTAGGAGCCAGCTTTACTACCTGCACAAGCAGAGCATCTACATTTGAAAGGCTGAATTGAAGTAAGGCGAATTTTGCACTGATACATGTCAGCAGATGCAATCCAATCCAGTGGCACAGAATGAACAGCAATCAGCTGCACAGCCCCCAGCACCTTCTGGTCTGAGATGCATTGCTGAAGTGCCACACATCCCACAGCAAACATCCCAGCCTGTGAATGGCTGAGGATGCTTTGTCCTCAGAGATGCAATAAACTCAATATTCTCTGCGTGAGTCACCAGTGAGGATATTTTCCCACCATGTTTCTGGGTTGTTTTTAAGCTAGAAATTTTGCCCCCAAGAAATGTGGTTACAGCACACGTTCAGCTACACAAGAAGAATTTTGTTTAATAAAGGCTAAAGAGGCACACAGGGTACGTTCCCAGGGTGGGTCAGCTCCTCTAACACATCTTCTGTTAGAAAGGAAGACATTTCATGCTTGAGGGGTAACCAACTCTAAAGTGGATTGTCTCTGAGAACATCCCTAAGTCTGGGATCAAAATCCGCCCATGAACAGAGCAGCCATCTGTAACTCTACAGTGGATGAAGCTCACCCCACCCCTACACCAGTGACTAACTTCAGAACTGGGACATTTCTGCACGTTTGCTGATCCCACTCTGATCACATCTGTGCTATTTCCCCCATCAGTGACTCCTACATCCTGGGTCTCTTGCTAACGTGGGCAGGCAGAAAGGACAAAATTAACAGAGACACAGAGCTGCACTTTCCCTTAAGAATGGATTTCAAAATCCACGCCTTTCCTCTTGGCATTACTTTTGGGATGAGCGAACACCCAACTATATTCCAGCAGCAGCATTACCATCTGTTTCATCCTCTCCTAGAAGTCCTGCTTCTGTGTTTCCAGAGTTCAAAATCCACACCTCAAACCCAACCTATAACCATGCTAAAAGTCACTGCATCCATCTGGCTTCATTAGACATTCTGCACCCTTCTCCCATTTCCTCCTACATGCACACTCCATCACACCTGATGAACACACAAACTTCTTTAAGCCCAGTTTCATCTTCTAGAAGACAGAAAAACCTCAAAGCTGAGCTGCTCCCTGTTTGTTTTCCCACTGCATGCCCACAGTGATCTTCACTGCTTCTCTATTCCTCTGCTTGTTCCACTGAGTAAGGGATAACATTAAGTTGGCTGATTCTTAACTTCACAAGTTCACTAAGCAAGCTGAAATGATTTTTTTTTTTTTTTTGCTGGAATGCTCCTTAGGCAAAAATCTGCTCATTTTCTCATATACTTACTGGAAATTTTCTCCAGTAGTGGAGGGAAAATATGCAAATTGTACAACATTTTCCTAAGCAGGAGTCTTGAGACCTTGGCAGTCTTCACTCCTCGCCTGCAGGTACAAACAAGACCCATAATGTTCATTATTTCTCATTCTGCAGAACACCAGCAGCAGAGGCAATGTTCAACTACCTCCGGAAGCGCTTCGCCAGCCACATCACAGAACGAAGCCGGAGAAAAGCAAGGCTTGTTTCCAAAGATGGAAGGTGCAACATAGAGTTTGGTAACGTAGAGCAGTCAAGGTTTGTCTTTTTGATTGATATATGGACGACTATCCTGGATTTGAGATGGAGATACAAAATGACCATCTTCATTTCAGCATTCTTAGGCAGCTGGTTTCTGTTTGGTCTCCTCTGGTACGTTGTGGCCTACATACACAAAGACCTTCCAGAATTCAATCCCTCCATAAATCACACCCCTTGCGTTGAGAATATCAACGGTCTGACTTCAGCTTTCCTGTTTTCCTTGGAGACACAGGTCACTATTGGCTATGGCTTCAGGTGTGTCACAGAACAATGTGTCACTGCCATTTTCCTGCTCATCTTCCAGTCTATCCTGGGGGTAATCATCAATTCTTTCATGTGCGGTGCCATCTTGGCCAAGATTTCAAGGTCCAAAAACAGGGCCAAGACCATCACCTTCAGCAGGAATGCTGTCATCAGCAAACGTGGTGGGAAGCTCTGCCTCCTCATCAGGGTGGCAAACCTCAGGAAGAGTCTTCTCATCGGGAGTCACATCTATGGCAAACTCCTGAAGACCACCATCACCCCAGAAGGAGAGACGATCATTCTGGACCAGGTCAACATAGAGTTTATCGTTGATGCTGGCAACGAAAATCTCTTCTTCATTTCCCCATTGACTATTTACCATATCATAGACAAGAACAGCCCTTTCTTCCACATGGCAGCAGAAACAATTCTGCAGCAAGATTTTGAACTGGTGGTGTTTTTAGATGGCACTGTTGAAGCCACCAGTGCTACCTGCCAAGTGAGGACATCTTACATCCCAGAAGAGGTGCTCTGGGGTTATCGCTTTGCTCCCATTGTGTCCAAGACCAAAGAAGGGAAATACAGAGTAGACTTCCAGAACTTCAGCAAGACAGTGGCAGTGGAGATGCCCCACTGTGCCTTCTGCCTCTACAATGAGAAAGAAGCTAAAGCCAAAGAGAAGAAAGGCTATGACAACCCTGGTTTTGTCTTGGCAGAAGTTAGTGAAGCCAGTGACACAAAAATGTAGCTCCAAACCTTTATCAGACTGCACCTTTCTGCGTAATTAAATCAATCTTGAGAGGATTAACAACTTAGTGAAACCAGTAACAGGTTTGTTTTAACTCTACAGCAGCATCTATCTTCTCAAAAGCCTCAAATCAGAGAGGACCAGCATACCAGTGATCACCAGAACACTATTTAACAATGCTATGTATTTCATAGAATTTGTATTTTTATATCTGTGGGACACTTTACGAAGCTGCTAAGTTGGAGCGTCCAACTCACTTAAACTCCCAGAGGCACATCAGCCTTACAAAGCCTGGAAAGAGGAACTTTAAGTCACCCTTAAGGAGCAAAGCTGCGAGAATGAGAGCATGAGAAGAACAGACAGAAGGCCAAAATTCTCCATAAGGACCAAAGGGACTTGCAAGTCAAAACCTCACCAGAAATGCATGTTTCTCATTGCCAAAGCCCTCTGTGGATGCAGACTCTTTGGTTCCGGACCTTTTGAGCACTTTTGAACATTTTGAAACAATTCCTTCTTATTTTGAGCTGACATATTTATAGAAATGGAGCACTAAGGGACGGCACACGTTTAGGAAGGGATTTTGAAGACAGAGCCTATGCCATCCTCCTGCAACTACAATGTCATAAGGAGCTCTCTTCTGGGAAAGCTTTTGATTCCTTGAGAGAAAATACCAAATGGAAATGGAAAGTGAAAACAAGCACAGACACCTGTCATGAGAGATGAGGAACACTGCAGCTTGTTCTTAATCATCTCACCTTCCTGATACCCCTCTGTCCACTTCTGCCAGGAGGCAGCTGCTGTGATACTGAGAAATCTCAGAAAGCAGCAGCCAGTGGAACAGAAGCACAGCGGGGAGGTGAAGAGCACCCAGATTGCAGCACATCTGGTGGGAGAGCAATCCTCTGGGAGAAGAGAGGAACTTCCCAGCACAGGATGCAACTTTGGAACAACCCACAACACCAGCAAGGCCTTTCTTTGAAGCTACAACTAAAGCACAGTGAAATGCTGTATCACAGTAGGTACTGCAGTAATGACAGCATGGTAGCAAAGGCCTGGGCTGCAGCAAGTGAAGATATGCTCAAATGCAACAGCTGTGGGCACAGAAATAAAGGAAAGAAACTGCTCACCCTTGGAAGGCTGCAGGAAGGCAGGGATCTCCAGCAGAATCCCCTCACCTCCACTGCCAGCCCTTAAATGAGGGCTGGGAAGGGGTGGATCCTGGCTGCAGCCCTTCCATCACTCAGTACATTGCATGCACCTGAGCTGCCCTGTGCTGGCCCTGCCTTCCCACCAGCTCACCATCACTGCTTCAGGCTGTGATTCAGCATTTCCATTTACACAGCAAAGATGCTGAGGAGCCCCCACCAAAAGATCTTCACATCCAGTTTCACATGGTTCACCTCACCAAAACAAAACATGCATTTCTACAGCAGACAGTTCCTGCTGATTGGTAACCAGGAGTACATTTTCCTGCTTTAATTCTTGGCATTTAGGTTTCAAGTGCAGCAAAAACCTTCAATAGCTTTTTGGTGACTTCCATCCATATCCTCACAGACCGACATTTCTGGTCTCTGATGCCCCCAAAAAGTTCTTTTGCTGAGAGTTCAAGTGATAGGACCAGAGCGAGAGCTTTTCTGGGAACTTTTCTCAGTGATGTAATTCAGACCTTCTACTTTAAACACTGGTAAAACAGATGTATCTTTTTAAATGCAGGAGGGGTTGTAAAAAGAAAAGCACAACTAAGTGGTCAAATAACCACAACAGTATTGTGAATGGACTGAGTGTAGCAATAGAGATCTGGGAGCCAAGGGAGCTCAGTCCCAGTGGAGCATCGGCCCCTCTGGTGGTTCAGAACAAATCACTTTGGTACGTATTTCCAACTTGCCATCTGTAAGATGGGATGTGAGGTTCTCACTCTGTACAAAGAACAATGTTAACAACAGTGATGTCACTAAAGCACTTTAAAAGCCACTTCTCAGCTGTCTCAGTCTTTCTTCAGTGCATCATTGTTAAATCCCTCTTCACTTTGGAAGAGCAGCACAGAAAGTTCTGTTCTCCTAACAGAACTACTGCAGATGGCTGCATGGCAGGCTGGAACTGCCAGCACAAATCATCAGAGTCAGATATTGCCCAAAGCCTTAAGTGTGGGTTTTGCAGTCCTGCAAACACTGCCAGCAGTAAAAGCATTTTGTAGTCAGTCACTGCAGCACCTGTGGCTCTCAAAACAAAGGCAGCTGCTGCCCACTGCCCTGCCTGGCACACAGCAGCGTGCAAGTGAAGCAAGAATGCAGTCTTCACCATACAGAAAAACAAATCCATATGCAAGGTTCAATCTGTCTGCAAGGAGGTGATAGGAAAGAATCCTGTTTTCATTCATGAAAGCTAGCCTGGGATGTAAATGAGAAAGAAAGGAGTCACCAAACGCTCCTCAAGTGTCCACCCAAGAGGCAGCGTGCGTCCTCCACACTGCAAGGGATCTCTGCACGTCCAGGCACTGACTTGGGAAGCCATCTCAAAACCCTGAGCCTCTTCTCAGTTTGTCACCCTGCTGCTTTCTGTGCTTTTGTTCTCTACCTAAGTTGTTACTCAGTACTGTAACACTGTAATGCACTGGAAAGTGCAACAATGACAATGTAGTAGCAAAGCCTCAGGACACAGCAAGCCCGGACTTGCTTAAATACAATGGCCATAAGCACAAAAATAAAGGAAAGAAGCTGCTTACCTTTGGAAGGCCCCAGGTAGACAGGGATCCCCAGCAAAACCCTCTCACCTCCACTGCCAACCCTTAAATGAGGGCTGGGAATGGGTGGATCCTGGCTGCAGCCCTTCCATCACTTACATTGCATGCACCTGAGCTGCCTGTGCTGGCCCTGCCTTCCCACCAGGTGCTCCATCACTGCTTCAGGCTGTGCCTCAGCATTGCCACTACAGATGTCTACAAAGTATTAAGTGCTAGCACAACTCAAACAGGAGACAGCTGATCTCACTTGAAGGATAATTATCTGTTGTTCATTCTATTCTGACAGTCACACCTTCCTCAGTTGCTAGCCTTGCTGCCTGCACTAACAGAGGGGAGATGGCTGCATTCTTTCATGTTAGCACGACAGGGGGGGAACTGGCCATAGCATGAGCTGGGACAGACCCCAGGCTGGCAGGGCCGTGGCTGAGCCAAGCTCACATGGATAGAAATCGTAGGCAACCAAAATGGGGACCCAGGAAAGGAGCCGTCCTCCCTCTGGCTGCCACCCAGGGGGTGCAGAGCCCAGCAGCAATTGGGGATTTCCTCTTTGTGTCCAGAGGGAGCTGTGTGTCACTTGAGAGATAAAGGTCCAGGGTAGGGAAAAAAAGGTTATCGGAGACGCTCTGCATGCAGTGCCGCTCAGGACAGACTCCATAGGAAATCTATTTTGGAGGCTGTCACCTCTACTTCCATTAAAAGAAAGTTCAGTTAAGAGGATGAAAATAAATTTAATCTTGCTGAGCAGAAGTGGCTCTGGAGGGAACCACTGCCCCGATACTGAAACAAAGGCGGGTTTCTTTGCCTGTGACAACACTTCATTGTCACATCTCCACAGCACTCTTTTCTAAACCCTCACGGTTCTCTTCTCCCTCCGTTTGTCCATCCAGCCTGCAGCCTGCCCATACGGTGGCAGAAACAACTGTGGAATACAATGCAGAGGCCATCAGCCTTGTTGGTACAGAGCAAAGCCATCTCCTTAGGGGAGGAAGTCAGACCATGTACTTATTGCTGAATGAAGGCCAAGAGGGCTTAGCTGTGAAAGCATTAGCCAAGCAACAAAGCTTGGGAATAATGTGTCTGCAGTAAACTTAATTTATCTTCTCATTTCACAAACAACATGTTTCTTCTACTGTATTTATTTTAAACATTCGTTCAAGCTGTGCATAATATTTCAATCATTTTGAAATAGATTCACCCTCCTGCTGGCAAATGAATAAGGCGTCCTGCTGGCTGCTGGAGAAAGGGCCATGAATTAAAATAACTGCTTTCAGTAAACATGTGCCATGAGCTGTCTGCACACACCCCTTGGTAGTAATGGGTGAGAAGAAACTCCTAAATAACAACAATAAAACAAACCTTGGCAAACCGTTTGGATACACAGACTGATTTGCGCTGTGGTGATGTGGCACAGCACGGCTAACGAACTCACAGCATAACTCCTGTGTGTGTGTGCTGCCTTGCAAACCCAGCTACTCCCCCATAAACAAGTCAGCAGCGTGCGCAGCCCCAGCACAAATCAGAGTGGCTGAGGTGTCGCAGCCTCCTTCCTCTCCCCAGGCAGCAAGTTGATGTGGTTACACACATGTGGATTCTGCTGGGAAGAGCTTATATTTCCCTCTCTCATCCTTTGTCCCCTTTGATCCAGCAGTGCCTGGAAATGTCACAGTGCTGGTGCAGTTCTTGCACCCCACACAAACAGAGGGAAACCACAGCCCATGAGCAGCACCGTCCAGCACAGGGATGGGGGAAACGGGGTGAGTCCCCGACCCTCCAGTGAATCTGTGCCTACAGCTTGATGCTGCGGAGCTGCTGTGACAGCAGTGACACCGACCCTGAATCAAATACAGCCTTGCGACAGCTTCACTACAACTGCAGAGAGGAAGCCGAAAGCGTTCTCTGCACAGCTGTGAGAGCACACAATGCGTTTCCTGAGGCCAAGCTGACATTCCTGCGGTGGAAGCATCTGCCTGGCAAAGCTTACAACTTGCACAAACTGCTCCGCGAGCAAACATAAACCCTCCCTGCTCCAGGGAGTCGGGTGAGCAAGGGGAGGCTGGAAACGGGAAAATCTCATTGCATCTCCACCCGCGGGCTGCTAGAAAGCATTGAATCCCTCGCGCTCTGCGTGACGCACCCCGCGCCAGGCCCGCAGCTCCCAGCGCCGCACAGCTGCGGGACCGCCGCTGCATTCTGCGTTGCGGCCGCTGGGAGGCGCCACTGCTACGCGACGGACGGCGGCCGCAGCGCCGCTCCGCCCCGCGCTGCCGCGGCGATCTTAAAAGCGCGAAGCAGGAATTCATTGGAAGCCTTCCTCTGTTTACTGACAGAGCGTAGCGCACGTAGCGACTTCTTTGGGCACGAGCTCTGGGAGCGGCACATATTTAGCCGCTTCGCAGGAGCGTCGGTAGACCTCATTCCCCGCTATGAGCGCAGAGGTGGCACCGAAGGGAGGGGTGGGAGGATCTGGGGGCTGCTCCCCGCTAAGAACAAATAACAGCCGGGCAGCTCAGCTCGGGGCTCGGCTGTGCCTCTCCGCGCACAGGGCGCTCCCGGTTTCAGTGCGGAGCCGCCGCGAGGCGCGGATGATGCGCTGCCGCCGGGCGCTGTGAGCGCCGTGCCGCGTGAGGGCGCACAGGGCAGCGCCGCTCTCGCGTAGTGCGGACACCGCCGAAGCCGCCCGCCCGCCCGCCGCTCCCACGCGCGGAGCTCTCGGCCCGACGGGGCCCCACGGGGCTCAGCCCCAGCTCACCCCACGCGGCAGCTGCGGGACGGGGCGGGGCGGGCGCTCACCGGACGGCAGCCGGTTGTGCACGGCCGCTCCCACGGCAGGCGACCGTTAACGGTTCCGCCCCTCGGCGGCGGCCTCGAGCCGCTCCCGCGCGGCCCCTCCGCCTCGTGCTGCGCTGCTGCGCGGTCCCGAGGCGTGAGAGTCCGCAGCTCCGCAGCTCAGCGCCGCGAGCGCCGAAGATGAGCTCCGATTTCCCTGGGAGCGGCGCTTCCTGCCTGGCTCCGGGTTTTGAAGTTCCGTGCAGAGTTTCTGCCGCCCCGGTTGCCTCACGGTCGTGCGACCCCAACCAGCTGTTTTGTGAACTTTCTGATCGAAGCCCGAAATACTTGAATTCCATCGGCCGTGTCCTCACGGGAAAAGCAGAAAGTGGTTTCGGTACCATCGCATCCCTGGTTTATTTTGTCCCTGTTGGCGCTGGGAGGGGAGATTCCCTGCTATCATCCCTCGAGCTTCCAGCACGGCGCTCAGCCCGCTGCCTGGGGATGCTCATGGATCGCTCCGCTCCGTTTCTTATCGTTTGTTCTCCACCTGAGGATTGCAAGCTATTCAGATCTTATGAAAATGCTGACAGGTGCCCGGGAAGAATCCCACCACCGTCAGTATGGCACACTGGTGTGAGATCTTTGTGCTCCAAAATCTCTTTGTAAGATCTCTCTCTCCCTTTTTCTTTTTAAATGAGAATGCAGCCTGCAGTGGGCAGCAAACTCTGCCTAATGCTAAATATGAGCAAATACCAGCAAAGATTGGTATCAGCCACAGGGGATGAAAAGAGACCAAAAGGAGCTGAGCTGTGGGCACCACAGATCGCCTTCCATCTCAAGCTGAGCTGCTTTAAGATGCTGCAAGTTGAGCAGTCAGAAAGATGCTCCAATGGTCGTTTTCAGAAGCCTTTTTCTTTTTTTCTAAGGATGCTGCTGTCAAAGACACTGTTACACTCTGATAGCCTTCAGATTCTGCCTTTAGGCTTTTTTGGTGCAAACTCAGTCTTCAGTTTTCCCATTGCTTTCAGCTGGGCAGGTACGTTGTATTAGAAGACAGCACTTGATATTTCTACTGATGAATGCGGATTGAGCTGAAGTGAAAAACAATAGAGATAAGCAACAAAACATTCACTCTTATGACTCAATTGAGCAAGTATGGCTGAATACACAAAGGAACAGCTCTGTGGCGGCTGAACACACCACTTAACGCGGCTCTTTTTCAGAGCTGCTGCTAATCAAGCTGGTGAAAGCCATTGTAGCAGAAACTTAGCAACAAAAGGCTGTGTGTGGAGGAAGGAAATGGTGTACTTGTGCAGTTATGTATTTCCAAGGGTTTATCAAATCTGCAGAAAGATCAAGCTATCTCTGAGGACCACCGTGTGTCTGAAAAAATACAGGAAGTGCCTTTGCCTGACCTTTAGACACAGTCAGATGATTCCTTGGCAGCGCTTGTTTTTTCAGCCTCCTGCTCCACCTCAGCAATGCTTCGGAGCACTGGATTTCCCTGGGCTTGGGGACAGGTGAGAAAACATGAGCAGCCATGCAGGCTGGTAACCCGCACTGCGTTATACGTGCGTTCTGCCATGGCTGGCTGGGCACCCTGAGGAGTAAAGAGCAGGAGATGCTGTTAGCTGCTTCTGGCTGCGTGTCCCAGTGCTCAGCACAGGGCTGTGATGCAGTTGCTGTGGCACTGAGCGTGGATCTGCTCCAGCTCTGCCACTGCCCTCGTACCACACACTGCACCTCGTGCCTCGGCTGTTCTGTCATTTCTCTCTCTCTCCCCCTCTCCACATGGACAAAAGATGGAGCCTATGTTTCTGATTGCTTCAGTATCTAAATTAGATCCAGTTTTCTGGAATAAGAGGTCAATATTATTTTACAGAGACAAGGATGGTGATTGCTGCTACTATGGAGATTTCCTGTTTTTCTTTTAGCTGGATGTAATTTAGATGCAGGTTGATGCTCTGTCAGGAGCTGTGAGAGAGGAGGGAGAGAGTGGGACAAGATGATGCCTTCGAGAAGAAAACCACCATTTATTTTGCCACATTTTTTACATCATCTTCTTCATACAACTATTTCATCGTAACACTTCATACATTTTTTAAAAAACACCAAGATTACTTGCAAAATTATATATATTTTAATATCCAAAAAGTACATTGCATATATATAGTAGCAAAAGCCCCGTTCCCACGGGTAATTTCTTCATCGTTAAAATCTGCGATTATTGCGGTAACGTTGCTTATAAACATCCCAAAAGCACTCAGACCCAAACGGATCAGCTCCACCTTATTTCTCCTTTCTGTTAAATAACGGCATCAGTGCTTCTGGTTAAAGTTATGAGCAGACTATAATGTTCTGGATTCAGGCTCTCATCCTGCAATCGGATGCACATGGACCAAATCTTGCACCCACAGAGTCCCGGAGGTTTTGTCTAGACGAGATATTTCTGATCCTGTTAATTGTTTGCCAATTAATACAAGTTAGCTAACAGGCTGTACATGTAGGTCTGATCCCCCTATAGACATCTGTTCTGAAACAGAACTGTTTGTGGTTTACCCTTCTGTTTATGGCACCAAACCACCATTTGTGGATCATCAAATCAGCACATGCAAAATTAGAGGTGGGAGAAAATCGGCCAGTGTTTGAAATGGAAATGGAACGCCACGCCAAGAGATGTGCTGGGAAGCATTTGATAATTTTCTCTGTGAAGTGGATAAAATGTTTCCAAAGTTCAAGATTTTGGTGAAAAATAATCACAAAAAACTGAAACAGTCGCTTTAAAATTGCAATGAATGTTTTCAATCAGCTTCAAGAGAAACATGTTAGCTAAATGGAGTTAATTTGCAAACAACTATGACAAGCTAATGAAAGAAAAACATCTACCCTAGACAGACTCAGGAAATCTGGGAGGTTTCTGGCTAGTTTGGGGACCATTATGAATCCCATTGCAGGACCTAGGCTATCTCCAACAGATACATTACTCACGTCTTATTTCTTTATTTTTTTTTAGCGAAAAGTACAAAGCTACAGCCCAAATGTACAGATTGGAAAGATGTACAAATTACATTAAAAAAAAAAAACAAAAAACAAAAAACAAAAAACAACCCACAAACAACTGAGCTGACAGTAAAAAAAAAAAAAAAAAAAAAAAACAACAAACCTGCATTTGTGACCGAGGTCAACTCGTTTTAGTTCATCTTTCTTTTAAAACTGTGAGATATAGGGAAAAATAACTCTGCATAATTTATACAGTAATTTGCCTTCTGATTTGTTGACCCTTTGGATGGCGGTCTGACAAACGCACAGCGTTCGCGAATCGGTAGCGGTTGGAGATCCCAGGCTCTGGCAGAGCTCAAGGACCTGCTGTCATCTATCTTACTTCACTTCTGCTTCAAAGAATGTATGTGCATGACATTAAGTTACTTTTTGTTCTGGTGTTTCTGGAGTTAATACACAGTCTACTGAGGTTGCACAGCCTAGAAATTTCCTTCAATGCCCTTTACTTCTTAAAATATGCATGAACATATATATATATATATAGGAATATATATATTTTTTTATTTCCAGTTGGGTGAAAATCCTCATCTGCCTTAAAGCTAAGATTCCAGTTGTAGTCCCCTGCAGCCCAAGGTCCTCCTGACTTTGTAGTCAAATTGCCTACCCTCTCCAAAGCGAGAAAATAATTGTAGTCATGTTTTCCTAAGACCCACAGTTGGATCTTTGTCTTGTCAACCGGCTTTGAATTCTTAAAAAAATTCTCTCATCAAAAAGCTAATAGTCATTCCAGGTAATGATGAACAATCTTCATAGTCAATTCCTACAGAGGATTTAAGCATTAAAAACCAAAGAAAAATGCAGAGTACTGGCCCAAAGAAGCATCCATCTCTCAGTTCAGGACACAAGAGGCAAAATTACAAAAGTAGAAGGTTTGATCCAGGAATAGCCAATATCCAGTTTTACTTCTGTCCCAGAAAGGCCACAATTATCCATCAAGGGTCCCCAGAAAAACAAAACAAAACAAAAAAATCCCAGATGTAAAAAAAAAGAAGGTCCAACAAGACTGATTAAGGCCACTTGAAGATAAACGCATCTAGTAATAGCTGCCCAAGTGTGGTGATACATGGGCGTTGGGATGGCGAGGAACGTTGGGGTTTGGATAAATGCTTCCAGCAGGGGAGGTCCAATAAGGTGAGGCTGCTCCAAAGAAACTGGATGATGTAACAGGCATAGAAGAAGGATGTGGGGGTACAAAGTTCACCTTCTGCTGGTGGGCATGGTAAGAAGGCATGTAGGAGAGATCTGATGGATACTTGTACATTGACGATTCAGTGGGATGAGGCTGGAGAGCCTGGGCAATGCCATGAAAGTCAAATTTGTAGGCATACCTTTTGCCATGCACTTTGGTCATAATGTTCTTATCATAGTAGTATCGAAGAGCTCGGCTCAGCTTGTCATAATTCATGTTGGGCTTGCTTTTGCGTTCTCCCCAGCGCCGTGCCACTTCATCTGGGTCTGTCATCTTGAATTCCCCATTGGTCCCTTCCCACGTGATACAGCTGGCGTTGGAACTGTCCGACAGCAACTCGAGGAGGAACTGCCACAGTTGTATCTGCCCACTCCCTGCAAGAAGCAAGCCAAAGAGGAAGGGAAATGACATTGTGCTTCCTGCTTAAAAGCAAAGACAAAGGCAGGAAACAGAAGGACTATCTCGATCTTTACTGGGAACTGCTCCTTCAAGCCTTAGAAAAGTCTTATATAGGAATGGATAAACGATTCCCAGCAAACAAATTAGTCAACCCTTTGTTCTGTTTATGAGTTTGAGGTCAGATTAACTTTCATAATGGTCGCCTTTGGCCTTAAAATCTTTGAGCTATTCATAAACAGGTCTCTTTCCGAGCATACTGTTCTGCTAAACTTTTCACTGAATGGTTGACATAGCGTATTTCACATTTTAATTGCTTGCTTTTTACCATGGGTATTGTTCTGGATACCTACAGTTTTCTGTCCAATTACAGGAAGACTTCTTCAGAGTTATGTAAGAGTATTTCTTTCTCGGAAGAGATGACTCCTAGTTTTACTATGTGTAGTTACACTAACAGTAAAGGTAAAAAACCTTATAAGGATGTTTCCTTTGCTATTTCCTCCAGACATTCCTACAGTAAACAAACAGTATCGGTCCAAAGTGCTTATAGTTATCACTCCCCACCAATTCAGTCCAACTTCATAAACATCCAGTACTTGTGAGACATCAGCTGCTACGATTATTGGCCCTCATAACCAACTCCAGAAGCTGAAAACACCTACTCATCCACTACACACAGCAGCAGAACATCGCAAGGAAATGACAACAGGGGTGCAGAATTCAAAGAGGAACTCACCAGGATTGGCAAGACGGCTACTGGTGGGTCCCAGGATTTGATAGGGATCTAAAAAAAGCCAACAACAAAAGCTATCTTAATAAAAGTTTCATCTAAAAGAAAAAATAATTCATTGCTTTCCATCCTAGAAACCAGTTCACTTTTTGATTTTCTTCACTTGAGCTGCCTTTTCTCCGAGGCTGTGCAACAGACCTGACCTTAAATCTTTTTTAACAGTCAACCATCATTTATTCATAGAATCCAAAATGGCACCTTGGTTCTAACTTGGTTCAGACCTGCCAGCTTTCAAAGTCCATAATCTTTTGGCCATACCCTACACTTAAGTGTCAGCTACAACATTCAGCTGCTTGAGCAATACAAGTGTGGGGGAGTAGAGAAGAAACAGATCAGAAGCAAATAGATTTCTTCTAATAGAAATAACTGGTCAGAAGATAAGATTTTCAAATTCACTTGTTCACAGACTGGCTTGCTTCCCTCTGAGATCAATGAAATGTTCACCCAGCTCTCCCTTATTGAGGCAAATGAGGACGTTAGACAAATGAGAGTAACGGGAGTTTTATCACTGGCTCCAATGAGGCTGAGTGTTTCTTGAAAACTCCACAATGCATTTATTAGGAATGAATTCCTTCCCTTTTTGTGGGGCCTCCTCAGCCCTAATGTCTACACTTCTCCTTTGCTTCTCTCTGGTTTTGGTGATTTCGATCTACAGCATTTGCTCGTGGATTGAACTGATGCCAAAAGAACCAACCCCCTAAAAAGGATAGAAAGCAGCTGTGCAAAGCAGAGAAGGTGGTATTTAGCTTTTCAAAGGCCCCCTGGGAAACAAGCAGGAAACACTACTGCTTGCTGTCCAGCAGAGTTTGCTTTTCTTATTTGGTTTCCTTTGACTCTTGGGAAGCCCTGTTGATTCTATTCAGAGATGCTTCCATTGGACATCACTGCAAAAGAGGTGAGGAGGCAGTGAGCAGACACTTCACTGCTGCAGCAGGAACAACTGCATGCTTCTAACTGCACTGCATATCATGTTGCTTCAAAGAAGATGCAATAGCTAGGCACTGCACGTGACTCAGATGAAACAAGGATGTTTCTTTTGAATGGGGAAGGACAACGCAGTAAAACAGAAACAGTTTGGGACGGTTGCTGTCAGTGCTGGGTCACAGTTGACTCATTGCTCTGAGACTTCCCTGTAGGGCTTTGCAAGTTTGTCCTGTGTCCATGGTTGTTGCTGCTTGGCACGTTTATTTTCCCAGTCCAGTACAAAATACAGTTTCTTAGCAAATGCAGTGATGGCACAGTCAAAAATTACCTGGCTGGGGCCGTTGCTGTTCCGTTGTCTTGTTCACATTTTGTGTCCCTGCAACAGGAGGACCTGTAAAACCAGGAAAAGATCTGACGTTAATTACTAGCACAGAGAGGGAAGAATGAAGAGGGAATAAGGCAAGAGCAAGATATAATGGAAATAATAGTGATTGAGATGGGAAACATTTTCTAAGCCTATAAAAAATGTGAGGTTTCACTGGAAATTACAAATATCACTGTAAAATGAAAATATGCAGACAAGGCAAGGAAAATACGATGTAGATACCTCATCCATTTTCTGTCTTTTATTATAACTTCCATTCTCATTCACATGCATGTTTGAAAGAAAAAACTGAATTTTACAAATATATTAATTTTGACTTTTTTATGTGGGAACATTTTTCAGTAACTTTTGGAAAAGCAATCTCCTTTTTGATTAACTCTTCAAGGCAAAAATTGTTGGTTTTACCAAATCAAATATTTTGTTGAAAATATCACAGCCATTTCTATAAATTGATTTGATGTTATATCTGCTCCTCCTCTTCATATCATTTCTCTTAACAGAAAACTGTAACTCCAAGAGTACTCTTCATTTAGAATGCACACGGTTGACAAAGCTGCAAAGCAAAGAAGTGTGATCTGACAGCTGGGTTCTGCCACTTTGATCTGCACCCCATAGGATCTCACTGTGAGTCAGATGTGTCCATCTTGCACTGCTGCACTGGGATATGCCCCAGCAGTGGGAGCAGGGAAATGTGTGGCTCGGCATCATCTGGCTACGTTAGCCTGAATGCAGTCTATAGGAACAGAGAACTGATATTTCCAATGAGTTATCAGCCCATGCCCAGGGAGAACTGTGAACTCAGGAATATAGCAAACACAGTAAGAAACAAAAGCAGTGGTGTGAATTGCAGCTCATGCAGAAGGGGCCCTGGCTGCATGCTTGAGTGCTTTCTGCAAAGTACCAAGAATCTCTGAGATTCAGCCCGTGCTGCCTGTATCAGTCCCTGAAAGAATGACACCAGAATTTTGTCATAACATAATTGTGGCTCTTATCTTACTATTCCCAAGTTCTCCACCGTTCTGATGCTCATAACACAAGCCAACCATGTCCATCTTTCCCACAGTCTCATTTTGATCTTCCACTGCAGAACTTGCGATTCACATTGGGACAACTTACTTTTGGTGAGGCCAGAATTCATATTACTGCCCCATCCTGTTCTCCTGACTGCATCATAGGAGGAGGGATCTAATGACAAAAGACAACAGGCACAGATGGGTTGAAATCAATTCTTCCCAGAAAACTTGCAAGGATCTAGCTTTGTGCCTTGGTCTCAACACTCGGTATTATGCACACACTATTGGCTTTCCTCTCCTGAGCACCTCCTGTGCTCCTGTGGCCTTCACACAAAGACAGCAGGCTGTAAATACAGTATTTGGGACTGGCTGTTTGGGCAGTGCTCGAATGTGACACCTTCTGAACATGAAGTACAGCCACTGCATCCAATGGAGTTTAAAGTGCAACTTATGTCCTCCCAGAGAAGGCCTCCTTTCTTAGGACAGAAACAGGCAGAACAGGAGGATGAGATGAACCACAAAACAGACGGCAGCTTGAAAACCCGGGGAGGCCATGGACTTGACACACACAACAAAGAAGCTATTTTAAGAAGGAAAAAGATAAATGGCACTCTCTGGGTGAAATTCAGAAGGTCCCTCTGAGCTCACAGCTGGCACTACCCCATGCCCCGCCATGCCACGCTGCACAGCTCCCTGCAGGCACAGCACAGGCACTCACACATTCCTCACGGCGCTGGGAAAGCTGCTGCAGCTTTGAAATTACAGACTTCTAGTTATTGGCATGAAAAGGAAAACAGAGAGGGGACGGGAGAGAGAAGGGGGAGTGAGGGAGAGAAATGGGAGGAGGGAAGAGAGAGAAGTAGGGGGAAGAGAACTCTTTTCATGTGCCTGTTTTTCTTTTCTTTTTTTCTTTTTTTTTTTTTTATTTGCTTTTTTCCCCCTCTTTTTACTAGAAACCGCAAACCCTACTGCAAATAGATCAGACTGAAAAACAAACTGCTACGGTTTCAGCCTGGTACAAAGAGTGGGACAGGACATCTCTGCAAGAGGAGGCAGCACCCCAGCCTTGTCCCTGCTCCTAGGGCTGGAAGCTGGCACACAGCTGGGCACTGCCAGGGACCTTCATCCCCAGCTCAACCCTCAGCAGCTATCACTGTTGTAAATAAGCTGCTATTGATATGATTTTCCTTGCTGGAAAGTCATGAGTGCACCCAGAGCTCAGGCTGTTGCTCTATTAGTGGCTGAAATCAGGAGAGCAGAGATGAGGTCTGAAGCAACCACTGGCTTTTCCCATGTCCTCTTTGCAGCCAGTCTCTGACTTTCATTTCTCCCCTGGGATGTTTTTCATAAGTATTACAACTAGAGCTATTAGAGAAATGTTTTGGGAAATATTTTGAAAGAAACATAGAGGTTCTGAGTTGAGAGAGAAAGGCAAAACCTCAGAAATTTCCAGATTGAGATGCTGATGTACTTTTTTGTTTGCTCAATCAAAAAGCTTTGCTATTATGTAATTGTAATGGAGACGTCACTTAAATGGTGAGCCTGTTAAAAAGAAAGATAGCAATTTTTCAAAAGAAAAATAATTTACAAGTTGGGAAAACTATCCTTTCTGAAAAGTAACAGAACTCGTTTGGAAAATTCCCAATTTTCTCTGATTCTTTTGGGTCAGAAAAGGGGGAAGGGAACTAGGGGCCATGGATGGGTTGGTCGATTCACTTGCATCAGCATGTTTCTAGTAAACAAATAGGCCATCATCTGGATAGATGATCATCCTCCTCCTCCTCCAGATGGAGAAACTCTGTCACTGAGGAGGAGGATGCTTTGCTCAAAGTGTTGTGGAAAGAATGTGGAATGCATCTCCTGAGAATTTGTCAATATTAAGTGACAGTATCACAATCAGACATGCTGACCAGGAGTGTATTGTTATGACTGCTTGTGTTGCAAAGGATCAACGCTTGGTCCTCCAGGTAAGTTTGGCTAAGCCTGTCCAAATTATCACTCAGATCATCCCTGTGAATGGGTTTCCTTGAGTGCATGTTTTAGTCCTTAATTTTGGCTTAGAAGGGCAGCATGGATTTGGCTGAGCCAAGATTTAATCCAGATTTGGTGTCCCTTGGATGAGTCCCTCTGCCTCAGTTTCCCACATACAGGTTGGATCGTGGAGTCATGTGTGGGCAGAGCCACACTGGGATGTTGGGCCAGAACTGAGTTATGACTGTGACTTCCCAAAAGTGAGGAGAGTTAAACGTAACAGCAATTGTAAGGCATTGCTATTGAAACAATGTGTTCACTCAGGTCCTGCAGTTTTCCAACTCCTTCTCAAAAAAAAAAAAAAAAAAAAAAAAAAAAAAAAATCCACTCAGCTATTTTTGTTTTGTTTTCACAAAAATCCGTGCAACGTGAAAGAACCACATCAGCCCTCCCTGCTTCCAGGCCCAGACTCTAAAGCTGAACGTGTTTAAAGCAAAATGGAAAAGGCAGAGCCAGGGAACCTATCCAGAGACTCGAGTTTCTGCAAAAACAATCTCGTTCCCAGGACCTGACGCCCAGTGGCTTGAAGAGCTTCTACAGAACTCCAGCCAGACAGTTAGTTACAGGCAGAGCCTTATCTGTCATTAAAATCACTTGGATTTTACAGCAAAACTTGCCGAGCTATGGAAATTCAATTAAAAGATTTGGACTGAGGTTCTTTTCTGGTGTAAATCAGCAAATAGGTACAATGAAGCTGGGGGCAAATTTATCCCAGCAAGGGATCAGGTCCCTCCGTCTGTTTTAGACTCAAATGACCCAGTGGAGTAACAGTCCTATGACAAATGTGTGTTCAATACAAAATGGAATTAAAGAGCACAAAATAAATCATAGATGCTTTCAAGAAATGTCATTCTGCAGCTGTCTGGTTTATGTCCAGAAATTCCCTAGAATGAATGCATACTCTATTATGAGCAAGGTAAAGGATATTAATAATGCTTTGCACTTTCACAGCACCTTTCAACTAAGGATCTCACAGCTTTGCAAACATTCACACTCGCAGTGTGCCTGCGAAGGAGGTTAAATATCATTTTATTTATTTACATGCATTAATGCACTTTCCTTGGCTTCAGCTGCCTGTTACCAGATGAAATTTCTTTCCCAGAAATCACACTGTATGAAACATACCACATAGCATTGGTCCTTTCCTAACTCCATCTGTTTACTTCTCACCCCAGATCTCTCCTCACCACCCTCCACGCCATTTGGAAGTTCTCATCCTCATCTATGCAAGCCCCCTTTCAAAGTCTATTGGTTCCACTGGAATTAGATGCCAATGAGAAATGATGCGGTGGTGAAGCAGCCTGCTGGGAAAAGGCTTAGCACATGTCAAAATTAGAGAGGTCAAGCCAGGCCATTAGGCAGGCTGTCCAGCAAAATTCAAGAGATGAGTTAAATTATCCTAATCTCTGCAGCTTCTTCTAGACAGACTATCTGGAGGGACTTGGCCTGGGGAAGAAGATGAGGAGTGCGTCCCAAGCATCCCCTGAGTGAGTCTGAGGGACAGAGAGGAGGAGAGCAGCTGCACATTGTGCAGTGTGGATGTAGGAAGCGTGGCATTGCAGTAGGAAAGATGAGGCAGGCTCCACTGCACCACCAGCCCACCTTCACACACTTCCTGTGTGTAGGCTGTGCTGCTCCTGTTCCCCATACCTCTGGGTGATATTTAGGCTAAATGGCATAATAGGCTCATATATAGCTGTGGGCTAGAAGGGATGGGCAGACACCCACAGGCTCTATTCCTTAGGAAACAAGGCTTAATATCCCCAAGCAAATTTCCACACCATAAGGAAGACCTTCCCAAAGTCTGCACAGACCTTTAAGGTTGAATGCAATCTAGTGAACAAGCCATTAGGGAACCACTGCATAAGATATGATGTATTAAAGGGCAATGTATTTCCAGACAGAGTTTGGCCTTACAAATTTCAGTGAAGTAAACAGAGGAAAGAAGGCTGCAAATCTGAA